AATTTTTGTATTTTTTGTAGAGACGGGGTTTCACCATGTTACCCAGTCTGGTCTTGTACTTGCCTGCTTTGGCCTTCCAAAATGCTAGGACTAGGGCATGAGCCACCACACCAGCCAGATTTTTTAAAGTAGTATATTCGAAATCTTTCTCAATTTCCTGACAAATTAGCAACACCATTTTTCCCTACCCTAGATCTTTGCCAGTGAAAGAGATCCAGTAGTTACTGATTTTAAGTGTATATCATACATACTGGTGTATGGTTTTCTTTTTAATGCTGGTAAGTAAATTATCCCAGAAGGAGTCATTGGCTTCCATGCTAGGTATATCTTGAGATGTTAGACTATCTTTCAATCTTATTCCTAAGTTTTTGAAACAACATTGTCATTTCACTATGGACAGGGAAGTGAAAGAAGGAGGCATTGTATAATTTCTGGTGGTTGCAGGTAGCGGAGTTCTCACTATGGCCAGCTGCTACAGTAGTAGCAGCAAAAGGTAGAAGATAGTACAGAGAGATGGGGACGTTACAGGTTGTTGGTAGGTGAAGTCAATCTCTACTACAATTATAAATTGATACCCAATTTTTTTGCAGAGAGAAATTCACGTCCACATGTTTGCAGTATTTCATTTGCTAATTAGACAGTACCATACCATATACCATATGTGTTTGACAGAATGACAGAAGGACAACTCTTACAAATTTAAATATACCAACTTTGCCATGTTTTTATCTATTGTATATATGGTATACATACTTTGAATTTGATCTCAAAATACCATAAGAACATCAAGACTCATTTTATAATAGAATCTGCTTCCTTCCCTCCTCTCCCCTCACCCACACCCCCCCTTTTTTTTTTTTTTAATTTGACAGAATTTTGCTCTGTTGTCCAGGCTGGAGTACAGTGGCATGATCTCATCTCACTGCAACCTCCACCTTCCTGATTCAGGCAATTCTCCTGCCTCAGCCTCCCAAGTAACTGGGATTACAGGCACACGCACCACCACACCCCGCTAATTTTTTGTATTTCTAGTAGAGACAGGATTTTGCCATGTTGGCCAGGCTTGTCACAAACTCCTGACCTCGGGTAATCTGCCCTCCTCGGCCTCCCAAAGTGCTGGGATTACAGACGTGAGTGACCGTGCCTGGCCAGAATCTCCTCTTTTTTAAAATTTTGTGATATTGAGGAGAAAAGTCTAATTTAAAAAAAAATTCTACTTAGTTTAAGGATGAGTTACTAAGGAAATCAGAGAAGCATTTCATATATTAAGATGTGCTCTCTGTATTTTCCAGAAGGTATGAAGGTAATACCACTTAATAGGTTAGCTGCTACCCTGCACTTTCAAAGCACTTTAGAGTCATTCATCTGTCTGAGGTAGGACAGTGTTAGCACCCTTGGTTAATAGATGAGAATTCTTTTTCTCCCTGCATTTTACTGTATTTGAGTTCCAGAATTTATTCAGAGCTCTCCAGTGTTTGTGGTCTTCTGGTGGCCTAACAAAGGTTCCTTTTAATAATGGCTCTCCCTCACCAGTCTCCTGAATGCTTCTGGGATATTTTTCCAGAAGAGTTTTTAAAATTAGAAACAAAGAATTTTCACTTATTGTGGTAGCAATAAAAATAAATTTAACTTGAAAATTTATAAGAGATTATATCACTCATGGAAAAAGAGAAAACAATTATATAGACAAATAGGTAAACTATTTCATAAATTTAGATAAAGTCTTAGAAGATATACCTTTAATGCACAACTAATTCATGGTTTTCCTTCTGGAGGACAGATTATGGAATTCTTTACCTAAAATAATTTAATAATTGTATTGAACTAGGTGCGTTTGTGGTTAACAAAGGAAAGAAACCACAGGTGTTTATTTCCTGATTTTATCATGGTTAATTATAAGGATAGCATCTCTGCAAATTACTGGTTATGTTAGTGAGTGAATAATAAATTAGAGTATGTTTATAGGAATTTTATAATTTGAAGAAGTAAAAGGTATCACAGACACCTCATTGTGCTGGTTTTTGTTCATTTAAATATAGAGCATCTTGAAGGTTAAAATTCCAAAGCCTGATTTGTTTTGTCTGTGTTTGTTTACAAGTATGTTTAATCCTACTCTTGTTTTTGAGCTTTGTAATACTGCATGGAATATTAATCATTATGTGATCTTAATCTAGATATCTTCAGTGCTTCCACAGAAAGTCATTGTCAGAGAATTCATTCTAATTCAAGGTTAATTAGTGTACCATTAAAATAATGTGTTACAAGAATTAATTGCATTGCAGGTCAGAAAACGTGTTAAAAAGTATGGTGTAAATGTCTGAGAGCACATCATCCTTTTTAAAACATTGCTATACATGTGCCCCGCTTCTGGAAAATATATCCAAAGTGAAAATCACTACGGAGGTCCAGTCATAGGTGTTTCCCCTAAAGTAAATTTTTGGCACCACATGGAAAATTTAAAATATGGGAAATTTAAAATATAACACCCATTAACAGTAAAATGTGTTACTTGTCAGCTTTACCATTGAAACAGCTAAGGATTTATATTTTAGCTTTAGTTGATATAACCCTATTGGGTCAAACCTAAGGAAAATTCAGGAACGTGGCTGAGAGATATAAATTATCTATACATCTTATGGTAAAAGTACAAGACATATTATGTTGTCCTACTTAACTATTATGTAGTTTTTGTAAGTACCCTATGTAAATATATCACACATAGTCTTAACTATGTAGTAACTCTTGTCTATAGTTTAAGCTAATAGCCATAAAATGCCCACTTACAATTAGAACTAAAAATGATAGACTTTGAAATTTTGTCTGATTCTTTTGATGTATTAATAAATGCTGTGAAACAATAACGTGGACCTGTAGAATATTTTATTCATTAGTATTTGTTCAGAGTCTCATTAAAATATCTAATTGTTCATATGGAGGATTTCTGAATTAAGGCCCTAGTAACAGCAGATCACATTAGAGCTACAAAAATTTTAACATAGGAAACTGCTCTAGTACTCAACAATACATTTTCACCTGGACTTTTAGAATTGTCTCCACTAAAAAATAACTCCTGGCTGGGCGTGGTGGCTCATGCCTATAATCTCAACACTTTGGGAGGCCGAGGTGGGCGGATCACAAGGTCTGGAGTTCGAGACCAGCCTGGCCAACATGGTGAAACCCCATCTCTACTAAAAAAAAAAAAATACAAAAATTAGCTGGGTATGGTGGCGGATGCCTGTAATCCCATCTATTTGGGAGGCTGAGGCAGGTGAATTGCTTGAAACTGGAAGGCGGAGGTTGCAGTAAGTGGAGATCCGGCTACGGCACTCCAGCCTGGGCAAAAGAGTGAAACTCCATCTCAAAAATAAAATAAATAAAATAAAATAAAATAACATCGAATAAAATAAAAATAACTCCTACTGGGCTCTGAACAAGGCAAAATAAAATAGTTTTGATACTGTAAATTGTGAATGATTTGCCCACATTTTTTCTCTGCTTTCCTCCCTCTTAGGATTTTGCATAAGCCTGTTAGAAAACAGGTATTCACAGGTAAATAAAAGTAAATCAAGCAAATGAAAGCAAAAGAAGACAATTTGTAGGGAAGAAGTTTTCCTACTTTGTTGTTTGTTTAAAGAATAGATCCTAGTTTAATTAGTTGAACTAATAGGTGTGTGAAGAGAGTCTGGATGATAAGAAGAATGAAGGCAGTTTTAGAAAAGCTGTTTCTTGAAAGGTGCTTTTTACTTTAAATCAATCCTCGCCCCAGCTTATATCTATTTAAGTCTTTTCTGAAGTGACATAAAGTAGGGATTTCAACTTAATGTGGAAAAACATTCCATTCTTTATAAATGACAACATCATCACCATCCTCAGAAAGTAGTAAGCCATGCATCACTCATTTATTCAGAAAAGCCTTTAGCTTTTGGGGTTTTGTTTATTCTTTTGAACCAAGTAGGCTTTTTTCCATTAACTGAAACAAGATTTAGCAGTAGAGAATCGAAATAACACATGTAATAGTAACTGTGAGTCTTTGGTAGACAAATGTTAAAATTAATATTTCATATTTAGTATTTGTCTCCTAATAGTTAATCATCCATTCTCTTTTACAAGTGGCTTTCACAGTCAGCTGTTTGATGATAGACACTAATAGATTGTACTAGTGTTTTTGAGGTATTTCAGAGTGTAAACTTGCAATAGTAAGAAGAAATGCTTATTTTCAAACTGGTTTAATCTTTTTAAGGAATAAACTTGAGGAAATTTAGATATAGTACATTTGGATTATGATTTCTACCTAGGTTTAAGTTCTTGCTTTTTTATTCTTATGAATTCATTGGACATAATATTTTAGAAAACTGGAATTTATAAAGTACAGTTCACAAAGCATTTTCTTATAGTTCATTTAACAGGTATTATTGATATTATTGTTGTTATTACTATCATCACCACTCTGTAAGTGAACTGGTTGAGCTGAAAGCAGGCATTGGGCTAGTACAGACCCAGAAGTAGATATTGGGGCTTCCCATTGATTGTTTTCATCGTTGTTGTTGTTTTTGAGATGGAGTTTTGCTTTGTCACCCAGGCTGGAGTGCAGTGGTACGATCTCAGCCCACTGCAACCTCCGCCTCCCGAGTTCAAGCAATTCTCCTGCCTCAGTGTCCCAGGTAGCTAGGATTACAAGCGCCCATCACCATGCCCGGCTAATTTTTGTATTTTTAGCAGAGACAGGATTTCACCATATTGGCCAGGCTGGTCTTGAACTCTTGACCTCAAGTGATCCACCCGCCTCGGCCTTTCAAAGTGCTGGGATTACAGGCAGGAGCCACCGTGCCCTGCCCCATTGATTGTTTATTGCTTTTCCTGTGGTGCATTTTTATATCAGTCATTCTTAGAATAATTAACCCATACTTTTACATATTTCCTTGTCTTTCCTAAAACATTATATCTTTTACATGGGCCCACCACTGAGATAACAAATTCATTTATCTTATTCTGTGTTTTAGGGTAGGGCTCTACTTCACTGGGCCTGTGATCGAGGACATAAGGAACTAGTCACAGTCTTGCTGCAACATAGAGCTGACATTAACTGTCAGGTAAGAGTGACAAAATAAAGAAGAACTTTTATTTTTTAAATTGAAGTATAATTCACATAACATAAAATTTACCAGATAAACTCTTTTGAAATGTGCAATTCAGTGGCGTTTAGTACATTTCACAATGTTGTGTAATCATTGCTATTATATAGTTCCGTAATACTGTTGTCACTGCAGAAGAAAACCCTGTTCCCACTAAGCAGTCACTTTTTAAAATTTTTTTATTTCTCCCTTTGCCCCAGACCTTGGCAACCACTAATCTACTTTCTGTTTCTATAGATTTGCCTATTCTGGATATTTTATATAAATGGAATCATAACAATTATGGTTGTGTTTGACTTCTTTTACTTAGCATAATGTTTTAAAGGTGTATCTATATTGTTATATGGTGACATGTAGCAATACCTCATTCCTTTTTACAGCTGTATTTTTTGAATATCCCACGTATTTATCCATTAATCAATTGATGGATTGATGGGCAGTTTGGGTTGTTTCTGTCTTTGGCAGTTGTGAATAATGCTACTGTGAACATTTGTGTACTTGTGTTTTTGTTTGAATACCTGTTGTCAGTTCTTTTGGTTGTAGACATAGGAGTGGAATTACTGGGTTATAAAGTAATTTGATGTTAACTTTTTGAGCAACTGACAAACTGTTTTTCATAGGAGCTACACCATTTTTCATGCCCAGCAGCTATGTATGATGCTTCCAGTTTCACCACATCCTCACCAATACTTGTTATGTTTGCTTTTTAAAAAATAACTATCTTAGCGGGTATGAAATGATGTCTCATCATGGTATAATTTTGATTTGCATTTCCCTAATGACTAATGGTATGGAGTATCTTTTCACATGCTTGTTGACTATTTGCATATATTTTTTGGAGAAATGTCTAAGTCTTTGCCCACTTTAAAGTGATTCGTTTGTCTTTTTGTTGTTGAGTTGTAGGAGTTTTTTTATATATTCTGGATACTAGACCCTTATCAGATACATGATTTGCAAGTATCTTCTCCCTTTTTGTGGGTTTTCTCTTTATTTTCTTGATAGTGCCTTTCGATGCACAGGTTGTAAATTTTGATGAAATTAATTTATTATTTGTTTTCTCTTTTTTCCTTTTGTTTATGGTGTCATACTTTAGAAACCATTGCCAAATCCAAGGTCATAGAACCTAAGATTTTGGTTTTCTTTCTCCTTTTTATTGTGGTAAAATACTCATAAAATTTACCATTTTAACCATTTTAAGTGGATAGTTATGTGGCACTAAATATGTTTATATTGTGTGCGCCCATCACCACCACCCATCTCCAGAACTTTTTCATCCCCCGCAACTGAAACTCTAACCTTTAAACACTAATTTCCCATTCCTCCCTTTCCTCAGCCCCTGGCAACTACCATTCTACTTTCTATTTCTGTGAATTTGACTGCTCTAGGTACCTCATATAAGTGGAATCATACAAAATTTGTCCCTTTTTGACTGGCTTATTTCACTCAGCATAACATGATCAAGGTTCATCCATGTGGTTGCATGTGTCAAAATTTCCTTCCCTTTTAAAGCCGAATGTTATTTGTATGTATTTACAATACTTTGTTTATTCCCATATCTTTGGGCACTTGGTTTGCTTTTACCTTTTGGCGATTATGAATAACGATACTGTGAACATGGATGTACAAATGTCTGTTCAAGTCCCTACTTTCACTTCTTTTGAGTATATACCCTAGAAATAGAATTGCTGGATCGTATGATAATTCTACGTTTAATTTTTTGAGGAATTGCCATAATATTTCCCACAGTAGCTGCACCATTTCACATTTCCACCAGTAATACATAGTAATACATTTGAATTTCTCCACATCCTTGCCCACACTTGTTATTTTCTGTGTTTTTGACAGTAGACATCCTAATGACTGATTTGGGTGCCTTTTATTTCATTTCCTTGCCTAATTACTCCAGCTGGGCCTTCCAGTACTAGGTTCAGTAGAAGTGGTAACATAGGCATCTTTGTCTTTTTACGCTTAGGTTCTGGAAAAAGCTAAAAATAAAAATAAAAAAAAAATCACACAACACTTGTTACCATAAATCATGGTAATATCATCATTAAATTTGACTACCTAGTCTTCTGGTCTTTATCTTCAGAATACCTCCTATTTCACAGAAAAAGTAGAATAAATGTTTATGACCAACCCAGATCTCACCAGTAGCTCCAGACACACATATCTCTTCTTTGATGTCCCTCAGACACTTCAAACGCACAATATCAACACTAAACACCAACATCCCTCAATAGCCCACCCTTCCCTGCCCGCCACTCACCGTAATTGGCACCATCATCCAACAAGGGTGTCATAATTTAGTTAACTAGTACCATATAAATGGACTGTAACAATTTATACTTCGACCAGCAATGTATGAGAGAATTCCTGTTTCTCCAGCCCTGCCAAATACTTCATCAGAACACTTTTTGTTCTCTGCCTGTTTGATGACTGGTATATCCTATTTTTAATATAGCTTTTCCTCAGTTTCCCATTGTGTTGATGGTATTTTTCTCCTTACAGGAACTTTTTATATAGTAAGGAAAATCACTTTCTTTGTGTTATAATTGTTAAAATTTTCCCCCACATTTTCTTCTAGTATTTTTATTATTTCATGGTTTTTATCAACTCATCTAGAATTGATATACGTATCCTATGTATGTAATAGGAATTTTACTTATGTCCAAATGGTGCCAACTTTATTTTTGTCCAAATGAATAGCAAGTTCCAGTAATGTTTATTGAATCATTGGTATCTTTTCTATAGCAATTTGAACTGTCTTATCATAGTCTCAATTCTTTTATGTATTTCAGTCTGTCTTGGGGGCTTGTTCTTCCATTCCATTGCTCTGGTTTTCTGTTCATGTATTCGTGCTACACTGTTTTAAGTATTATAGCTTCAAAATATATTTTTAAATCTGGTTGGGCAAATTCCTTCACTACTCATTCAAAATACTTTCTACTATTTTTGCTTATTTATTTTTCTGTGTAAATTTCAAAATCATTTTTTCAATGCCCAACTTTCCCTACCACTATTACCACTAAGTTAAAACAACAAACAAGAACTGGCCAGATGCGATGGCTCATGCCTGTAATCCTAGCACTTTAGGGGGCTGAGTCAGGAGGATCACTTGAGACCAGGAGTTTGAGACTAGCCTGGGCAACATAGTGAGACCCCATCTCCACAAAATTTTTTTTAAAAAATTAGATGTAGTGGTGGGTGCCTGTAGTCCTAACTACTCTGGAGGCTGAGGTGGGAGGATCACTTGAGCCCAGGAGTTTGAGGCTACAGTGAACTATGATTGCGCCACTGCATTCCATCCTGGGTGACAGAGCACAAGACCCTGTCTCTAAAAAACAACAAAACAATTTTTTTAACCAAACACATTGCTTGGAGATATTGTATATGGAAATTTCCCCAAGTTAGGCATTGCCTTAGGTTTTTGCCTTGTGGATTTCTTATGTTCTGTTTGTTTGGGTAGTGTGAGACAGACAATCCAAAAGCTATAGGTGGCTTTATAGAACATTCTTTACTAAACACCAAGCTTTAATGCAAAGTAAAAGTTCGATGTAGGTTTTTAGGACGGATCTGTTAGTATTATATGCCTGGCACAGTGTTTTCCTTTGTATTCACATGACCATTGTGTATAGCCACCAGCTTTGATTCTCTTTTGACAGTCATAATCTATACAATCTAACTTTAGTTAATGGGATGCTTTTGGCTTTTCCAGTTTGAGTTGCTAACATGCTTCAAAGTCAGAGGGCTTCTGGAGGTTAGCTCTCAGAATAGCTCTTTCCCTTGTAATACCTTCTTTGGTTTCGTTATTGAAAACTCTTTTCAAATATAGACAATATAAACATAATAAATGGAAGGAAAGGTTCATCTCCCTCATGACTCAATATTTCTTAAACAACATTATTATTGACTGGCCTATTGGTTGCCAAAAAGGAAAATCAATTTTATTAGAAGTATTTGCTTGGCCACAGATCTTAGTACTAACTCAGCACAGACAGTCTGATGTTATCAACTATCTGAAGACTAATTTTTACCATTAGTCTGAAACAAAGCAGTAATTAGAGATATGTCAAAGTCTACTCTGTGTTTTCCTGTCATTTTTTACCCTTCAGTCTGTCTCATGCATTTTTTTTTTTTGTACTGCGGCTTCCATTTTGTGTGACTGTGATGGAATTGAAACTTGAAATTTTATTTCTAAGGAAGATGCTGTATAGATTTCGTTTGTTATCTGACAGTATTATGGATACAGTTTTGTCTCTTCCACTGCTTGGTACTGATTTTTAGTTCCACTCTGAAAGTTAGGTTCATACCACATTTGGGATTAGGATATGGCTTACATGCACGTGCGTGTGCGCATGCACACACACACACACACACCCTTCTCTGACTTCTTGAGTAACTTTGATTTTTCAAGCCCTGAAGAAGGATTAAAACTACCCCCCAAAGCACATTAAAAGGTATTTGAATGCTGAACATTTATTGGTAGAAAGAGTAGGAGCATCTGTGGTGTATGTGTCAGTACTGTGTACTGGTGTTATGCAGTTTAAAAGAAAAACATTTTGTTTAAGTGGTACAGAAATGTATAAAGGTTTTATATATTTTATATATTATATAAGCTTACAGTTTATAGAGGACCCTGTGCCCTCTCAGTGAATACCTTGTGCCTATCTGTGTCTTATAAAAGATTTCAAAAACATGAGAAAAGTATAAAGCAATAAATAAAACCATCTGTGATCCCATTATATAATGCATATCTGTGTGCAGTGGGGTGGGTAGGATATAACAAGTATTTAGTGTTTACTGTGTGTCAAGAATTTTATGTGTATTGTCTCTTTTAGTCATTGCATCAGTCCCATAATGTGCATATATTATGCTGTACATTTTACGGTGAAGAAACAGGAGCTTAAAGAAGTTACAGAGCTAGTGAAGGCCAAAGCCTAGATTTGAATATTCTAACT